CATCATTGAGTGTGTCTGGGATTACATGAAGAGACAGAAGGATGTGAGGAAGCCTGCATCCACAGATCTGTGGTTAGTCCCCCAAGATGTTTGGAACAACCGACCAGCCGAGTTCCTTCAAAAACTCTGTGCAAGTGTACCTAGAAGAATTGATGCTGTTTTAAGGCAAAGGGTGGTCACACCAAATACTGACTAGATGTAGATTTCTCTTTTGTTCCTTCACTGGATTTTGTTGATTGATGAAAATAAACGATTAACACTTCCATTTTTGAAAATATTCTTTGTTTATAGCATTTTTCCTCACTTGCCTAAAACCTGTGCACAGTACTGTAAATAAAATTGAACTGAATTGAATCCAATACAGTGTCCAGGTCAGGCCTGCACACCAGTGATCATAGAGTGAATGAGCTCATCATAAACGACCATCTTTGATGATACAGAAATCCACTGTCCCTTCACTTTTAGGCAAATTGTATTTAGAGGGGCCTTTTTACATGTTCCATGATATGACTGCACTATCACTGTCTAGGTAAAGGGTTTATCAGTTGGTCAGTTTCAGTCAGTGTGTGACGTTCACCAACTCTTCCTTTTGCTTCCGTTTGTTGCACATTTCAGTTTCTTGACCTCCCTGAGGACGTGGTCCGCCTTCTTCAGCTTCTCCATGGCCTCAGCCAGCAGATCCCCCGGTACATCCTCCTCTTCACTTCCATGGTCCTGGGACACTTTGCTCAAGAGCTTGCTCGTCTTTTCCATCTCTAGAGCCACTTCAGTCTCAAGTTTAATGACATCATCGCTAGAACCCCCAGCGCTTACAGCTCCACCTCTGCTAGACTCTTTCATCTGATTACAGACATCCGATTCAGACAGCAGATTCCCAATTGAGGCTGACCTGCCCTTGGCTGAGGGCTTGAGAGGAGGGATGGGTTTTATGTTCTTGGAGCTAACCTGAGGCACTGTTGTGACCTGTGCTGGTCTTAAAATAACCGATATCTGAATGCTGTCCTCACTAGCATCCACCACATCCAAAGCAGAATGGCTCCCCCTGAGTGCAGCTGTAGCAGCTACCAATGTGTCTTGACTTCCAGAGCCTTCACTCCCATCATCTGAGTGCTGACCACTGTCTACAGATTTCTCGTCTTGCTTTTTTTTCTCCCCGGACAAGTGGTAAAGCAGTGGACTCAGGGTAAGGGTCTCAGTGGTTGAGTCGT